GATATTTTACAGGGATTTAAAATTTTTAAAAAATTATTATTTTTTTTTATTTATTATTATTTTTTAAAGTATTAAAAATTTTAAATCCCTGTAAAATATCAACATGATATCACCGTGATATGACTGTGATATCACTGTGATATCACCTCGATGTCACCGTGTGATATCACCGTAAGGCGGACATTTTGACATTTTCCTGATGTCAAGGTGACTTTTCCCGGTGATATCACCGTGACATCTGGTTGATATATCGTGCTACTTGGGCAAGTAAAAAATTCGGTAATATTGCAGAATAATTCTTTTTCTATAATATTACCAAATTTTATTTACGACCTAGATAAGAAATTATACATAAGACTTATGTTATAGTTCACTGAAAGAAATAATAATTCGTTGGTGCAGCTACATGGAAAAACATTTTATATTAAAATACAATAAAAATGATAATATATTTTGACATACTCGATATGAAAAGGAGGCTATTCACGGTTCGCTAAGAGTTATCCATAATGTTATTTGAATATTTGAAATTACGATATGGATACTTACTAGTGAAAGAAAATAACATTTAATATAGTATATTAAAAAAATTAATTTTTGTCGATATTAAATTTAAGACAAGTAATTTTTAATAGGGAACATAATGAAGAAATGTAACTGAAAATAACAAGAATTAAAATAATAGTTTGGGAATTTTAACATACTAAATATGAAAAAATCTTAAAACCATAGCCGCAGGTATATCGATGTGAAAAATTAAAATTTTTGCTTTAGAAGTTTAATATCGACCACTATTGATTATTTGCGGGCCCTAGCTTCGTAGATGATCGATAATATTGACGAATTTACTCGAATGAAGAATGAGCTTGCCGCGCGGGAACAACCTAACCAGACCTCTGTGCCAACCTCGTGGACACAAAGAAATGACATTGGCAAAAATGACTAAAAATGTGTAGTTAAAAAAAATCAGTTAAAAGTACCATATTCAGAACCATTTTAACTAAACTTAGACAGTTGGTGGTACTAAATTTTAGTAGTCAATTTCACTTAGTTAAAATTACTAATATTTGTAGTTGAAATAACTGTCATGTGATTTTAAATGGCTTTACAACACTTTAGTAGTTAAAACTACTGTTAAAAATCGTTATTTTTAGGATTTGTGTAGTTGAAAGAAGCATTTCTTATTAGTTGAAGAAAAAAATTAAACTTACTATTTTCATGTAGTTAAAATAAGTGTTAAAAATAGTTATTTTTATGATTTATGTAGTTGAAAAACCAATTTTTCATAGTTGCAGAAAAACAAGTAAACTTAATGTTTTTATGTAGTTAAAATAAGTGTTGAAAATAGTTATTTTTATGATTTGTGTACTTGAAAGAACCATTTATTTCTAAATGGAGAAAAACAATAAGACTTACTGTTTTCATGTAGTCACTATTAATGTGAAGACTGTCGTTCAAGTCTAACATATAATTTTTGTTGTAGAGTTAACTGTTATTTTGTAGTAAGTATTACTATTTTTATCAGTTGAAAAAGTTTATATGTAAAGTTTAAGAATTATTAATTAAAAGAAGATAATAACTATTAAAAGTAGTAAATTTGACTGCATTGGATAGTAAAATTAACTGCATAGTGACAAGAATGTCCTCAAATATCACGTAAGTCATCCTAGCGTGAGTGGTTAGTTGGTTAAGTTGTCGGCTTACGAATGTTTGGGTCGTGCGTTCAATCCTCAGCGTTTCGGGATTTTTCTCTGTTAGGTATATAGAAATTAATTATTATAAGGCATGTATAAACGGAAGTAGTAGGGTAGAGGATGAAAAAATGGATCTCAATACTAATATTAATAATAATAATTTTACTACTTTCAATAGTTTTTTTTACTAAATTTTATAGTTCATTTAACCGTTTTTACATAGTTGTCTCAACTACTTTTTGTTAATAGTCGCCTCCTGGAACAATGAAAATTAGTAACTGCAACCTAATGAAACAGTTAATGTGACTGACAAAAAACCATTGAAATAACTTCTTTATTTGGTTAAATTTATTGTAAAAGTGGTAATTTTTACTATACTTTACAGTTATTCTGACAATTTTTACATAGTTGTTTCAACTACTGTATGTTCATAGGCGCCTCCTAAAACTAGGAGAAATAGTTAAAATTTAGTAAAATTTACCATAAATTTTTTTTGAGTGTGGCGTTGTTATACATCGTCTTCATATTTTACTAAAATAAAAGATGTAAGCTTTATGATTGATTCTCTCAAAAAGGGCAAATCAAAACGTGCACAATTTTAGACGGTGTTTATGTTCAAAAACAATAAAATTAATTTCAATTAATAAAAATCTGCCACCTATACGATAAGATTTAACAATTTTCAATCGGATCACTAATGAAAATTTTAAAAAATATAATTGTTTAAGTGAGATAATTATATAATCATCGTTTCTTACAAGCGCAGAAAAATTCTGCCGTTTAGTATATAAGGAAAATTCTGCTTCACCTCTCAGCGTACTTGCGAGCGAGCGTTTATGTGTATTATGCGTATTTAGGTGTATAGGTACCGTAAAATGGGGTAAAGTCGGCGTTTGGGGGTAAAGTCGGCCGGCGCTTTAAATCATTTTAAAGTTTAACTATTACTTTTTTCCAGAAGAAATCCGAGTTTTATTAAAAATGTAGTTAGAATTAATGTAAATTAATAAATGAAATACAATATTTAAGTGTTTAAAGCGCCGGCCGACTTTACCCGCAAACGCCGACTTTACCCCATTTTACGGTAGTTTTAAGTTAGGCTGTTAGGTAGGGATGAATGTATAAATTGTGTGTCTCAATGTATTCGAGTTCTCCATCTCACTCAAAACCTCAATAAATCTGTCGTTCTTTCCTTCTTCATTTCCCCATTTTTATTCTTTTATGCATGACTTACCAATTTTTAACAGTGCCGATATTAAAATTCACTTTTTCGAAATAACTGTTAAATATTAGTATAAACTTTGTTGACTATGAATACTGTATATGTGAATTTTAGAATTATTGTGAATTGATTTACAGAATTAACAGTGACTATAGTGATTTACAATATTGTCCATGAATAGCCGCACTTTACTATAGTATAATTTTAAATTATGCTTCCAGTTTTATTGTTTTCTAATATAAAATGTTTTTCCGTGTAGAATTATTTCTAGTTTTCCCATAATGTATTGGTAAACAGCTATTTGGATACTGTCATATATAACGCTAATTTAGATGATTAGAAATATTAAGTAATAATGATAATAGATTCAAAATCTCGTACTTAAATTACGTATGATTTCTCTGCACAATATACCTTTCCACTATTTGTACTTACGATACACTCACTCGTTGAGATAATCCGCTGGAACAAACGCTGTTCAGTGCGACTCGAGTCAATAAATAAATAAGAAATGCACAATTAATCAAACTTAACTATTTATTAAAGATATATTTTACGTTACACATTAATCCTAAATTGATAATAGATTAAAAATCTCGTACTTAAATTACGTATGATTTCTCTACACAATATACCTTTCCACTATTTGTACTTACGATACACTCACTCGTTGAGATAATCCGCTGGAACAAACGCTGTTCAGTGCGACTCGAGTCAATAAATAAATAAGAAATGCACAATTAATCAAACTTAACTATTCATTAAAGATATATTTTACGTTACACACTAATCCTAAATTAATACTTTGATATTATATTGTTATACATCCCGAGTCGCCAACACACGTGCACTCGCAACGACAGCCCGAATTGATCTGCTAATTGATTACTGCGCGCCCTCTTCCTTCCTTCCCGCTGGTGCTTGATCGGTGACAATCCGGAAATATCTGGATTTCCTATTTCTTTGACTGGACAAACGAATCAACTATATTAAGGAAAACCGCTGACACGCAAATCACTCACACATAGGATCAAATCACACCTATGAGATTCTCGAAGCTGATACTAAATAACACGTGTAAATTCACGACCTAATAAATATTCTAAAGACTATTTATTATAACGAAATCTTCCATATACATATATTATATAGGCAGTTTAGCCATACACTACCGTCCGAAATTAATCAATCAATCATAAATAAAATAATTATACAATTAAAGTTTTGTAAAAATTAAAATATATTTATAATCATTAAACAATTTATTATTAAGAATCAAAAACCTCGTTGGTCAAATTGAATTTTTTAATAATGAAATATATAAGTTTTATTACATTTATTTAATTTTAATAACTGTATAATTAATTTATAACACAATTATGATATCTTTCGCGTTATACAAATAATTTATGTTCACAAAAAGGCAAAAATAATTAAATTAATGGTGCCCGGAAAGCGCCTAATCAAAATCCTCTGTTTCGGCCCTGGCGCACGAACGAAAGAGGCAGCGAGACGGGAAAATCGAGCGATTGACGGTCGAATTTTTTTTCGTGCACGCTCGTTCTTTTTTTCAATTACTGGCCAACCCGTCAACATTTTTTATTGTTTTTGGAATCAATGGAAAGCTTAGATTTCAAGGAATAATTATGTTAAAGGACAATTTTTTTCGTCGATTTTCCTGGACCATGCAAGAGGTTAAAGTCAAGGTAGGTAATAAGCAAAAAATTACAACTATTTTTTCAACTTTGTAACATGATATATTTAAACCTATTTAAGCAATCTCATTCAAATAGGTATCATTTTTTTCGAAATTTAATAAGCTTTCCAACGCTATAAGGGAAAAGTCTCTACGTTAATTTCTCTCAGAGTTATCTTTATTTTCACGCGAGTATGTTTTTCAATGACTCGCGGTGTAAGCGTTCGCACAATTTCGGACGGTAGTGTACATATTGGCGTTCTATATGTATAGATGTTTAAGTCAATAAAAAAGTGTGTAACATAACCTAACCTTTTCGCCAGTTCAAAACAAAACACCAGCCATATTTATTTGTCAGTTCCCCCCAAAGCATTCCTTTCAATGTTAAACCTTTTACATTGTGATTCATTTTTATTTTCAACAACAAATTAACAAACAAATACATAGTTTGGAAACTTGTACTAGTGAAAATTTAAATTAAAATATTATCCATTGTCTTTGATAGTTTTAGTTACACTAGTTAACTCTTATTGTTAACTGCTTTGTCTACCGTATCCAGTGAAGCCAATGCACCATCACCAGAAAAATGAAATTCTATTTCCATATAGTATAAACACATTGCAAGTTGTTGTGATGGTGTAAATTGATGATTCCTGTAGTTTCTATATTTATTCCGAATGTAGCTTACAGTTTTCTCTATCTTGGACCTGATAATAAAACAATAATATTATCATGTCACATGAAAGCTTTATGAATTTATCAAATATATTTAAAAGTGTAATTATTACTGTAGAAGGAGAAATTTAAGATCTGCAATCATCTTTGTTAATAGAAGTGTTAAAATTTATATTACAGCTAATTTGAGGCAAATTTACTGGAAAGTTTGAACAAAAATTGTATTTATTTATAAATTTCTAATATGCATATTGAATAAGTAGTGTGAAAATTTAATTGTAGAGCTTTACCCAAGCAGAAATTTTCCTAGCTTTGCTCAACATAAAGTGGTGAACCTTACATGGAAGCCATTTATAGTATATCATGAAGTCTCCTTCCACCAAAATCCATTGATTACGTCGAAAAGCAAGCATCTAAGTCAGTCTGTTCAATAGATTTAAATAAAGACTGCAATCTTAAAAGTCCGTATTTAAAATTGTATGCAGGGACCTTCATGAAAGTCGATTAATTTTCATTTTGTTTCGATATTTGTAACGAAACAAAAGTAGAATGTACTTTTAAGGACGTTTATCCACGGAAATGCAGACCTCCAGAAAAAAATTAATTAACATTTAAATAATTAAAATAATATTATTAATTGTACTTTCTGACATACATATACAAAAAAAAATTTTTCATGAAAAAAATTTAAAACCTTCAAAATTTATTTGTTCAAACAATTTGCATAGAACAAAAATTTTCTGTCATATTACTTCTACAGAATTTTTTAAAAATGTTTCAATTTCAATGTAATATGGCTTATTTTCTCCGGAAAATGATTCTCTATAACTTCCCCCTGAGAATTTACAAATAAGCAAGCCCTTTGGAAAATATGACTGTTTATTTTAAAAAATCCAAATTTTCCTTTTAAACAAATAGCCATATTTTCAAACGGCTTGTTTGTATAAAAATCCACACGGTGAATTTGTAGAGAATAATTTTCTGCAGAAAATATGCCATATTACATTGAAATGGAATCATTTTTAAAAAATTCTATAGAAACTATATGACAGAAAATTTCTATCCTATGTAAATTGTATAAACAACTAAATTTTTTAGGTTAAAAATTTTTTTTTTTTAAATTGATATTTCTTCTTTCAGAAAGTACAATTAATAACATTATTTTAAATATTTAAATGTCAATTAATTATTCTTTTTTTTGGAAACCTGCATTTTCGTGATTAACGTCCTTAATTCAGTTTGGTATACGAAATGAAAGTCGAATAGACTTTTAATTCGGTTCGGTTAACAAAACGAAAGTGAAATGTACTTTCGATTCGGTTTGCTAAATCGAAACGAAAATAAAATATTGACTTTTGATTCCGATAGTATCCGTCGCTATGTGACTCTAAACTTGAGACTTGAAACGTAAGGCTTAAGACGTAATAAATTAAGACATTTGATTTGATTCAGTTAGAGAACCGAAAGTAATCTGATAAACTTTCGTTTCGTTTAAAAAACGAAATCAGAAGTATACTCTACATTCGTTTCGTTCACTAAAACGAATCGAAACTAAGTTAACGTCTGATTTCGCAATTACATCCGAACAAACTTGACTTTTGATTCTGTTTTCGGAATCAAAACTTAAATGAACTAGATTTTTGATTCAAGTACCAGAATCAAAACTGAATATAGCTGACTTTTGATTCTAATTTCGGAATCAAAACTAAATAGAGCTGACTTTTGATTCTAATTTCGGAATCAAAACTGAACAAACATGATTTCTGACTTGGATATCCTAATCAGAAACAAAACAAAAGTGTTTTTGAATTTTATTTTGATTCCTTAAAGGTCACTGATTATATGTGACCGTCCACAACAAAACAAGGCTTAGCTCCCAAAAGTAAATTTCATAGGGCAAGCGATTGAAGTAGAAGCAGAAACAAGGAACACGCTTGACATGCCCGTCTTTAGAACGTTATAAAGTCAAAAGTAATTGACATAAACAATTTCTGACTTTTGCATGTGAAAGAGCAACTTAAAATCTATCGATTAGCATCAAAAACTCAAAATTTATTTTTTGGGAGCTAAGCCTTGTTTTGTTGTGGACGGTCACATATGTCGTTTCCATGATATTGATCCAAAAGGAAAATATTTTTTATTAGCTTCATTTAGAGCAGAAATGACAATTGCTCGGTTTATTATTCTGAAATCAGAGATGATATAATTAAGTTTGAAAAAATTGTTCTGCATATCAATCAAGTCTCTATTATTTTCTAAGTTTCTTTTGACAAAGAATCAAACCACATTGAAACATAAATTATTACTATTATCACATATTTCTTCCATACAAATTCCTTACAAAAATGAGCTGATTTGTTGTAAAGACACAGTGGTAATAAAACCATCTTTGTCTTTAAAATGTTCCCAAAATGTTTTCATAGAATGTATTATGTCTGCCAAATAACGAACTAAGAACGTTCAATGTTTTTAAAACGATTGAACAATATTAAATATGGACTTTTAAGATGGCAGTCTTTATTTAAATCTATTCAAATAAAAGCCTCAGATGCTTGCTTTTTGTCGTAATTAATGAAGTTTGGTGGAAGGAAAAAATTTTTCATTTATTTTTTCAAAATCGAAAAAATGGCTATTCTACATCAGTTAAGTACATAAAAATTTAGGGAAAAAAGTCTCAAATCTCTCTCATGTTAAAGTTACATACTTTAGAGGTAAATATTATATTTAAATTAATAATTCTATAAGGTTATTGTTTATTAAAAATAAATTATAAAGTGAATTGTGCTAACTCATAAGTGTATTCCCACCTATATTGCTTATAAAAATAACTACAATGGAGACAATGTCAACCAGTGAAAATAATTCGATTTATTCAGGTGATTTTCATGATCCAGAAGATGACAATCTTGGCAAGAATCCAAATGTGTTGCGTGGCCAGCATAATGGACGTGAACCAATAGTGATGAATGTCGAAGATTTAATTGCTGTGTCAGTAATGACAGCAATGGGAGGAATGAATTGGAACCCGGATGGTGAGAGACAACAATTACGACAGCCGGGACAGAATAGAGACATAGCACCTGGTATTAGTTTTCGGGATATTGCATCCTTGATTCCACCTTACAGAAGAGAGGAGGACGATGATGTGGAGCGTTGGATTAATCGTGTCAATGACATCAAAGCCTCTTATCGAGTTCCAGACGAGATTATTAAACCATATGCAACCCAACAGCTCAAGGGTAAAGTTTTTGACTGGTACAATGATTATCCAGGAATCATCGCTCGAACATGGGACGAATTGAAAATTGAGCTTACAAATATGTTTAAATGTCGGGATAATTCTCTTATAGGAACAAAGAAAATGGAAGCTAGGATATGAAAAGTTGGAGAAAAATTTTCTGTGTACTTCCAGGAAAAATTGAAGCTCATAAATAAATTGGGTTTGGCCGAAGAGAGTTATCTATTGAATATGTAATAGAAGGAATACCGGATTATATTTTAAAATCGCATGGTAATTATCAAAGGCTGGTTACTTTGTTGGAGGTAATGCAGCTTATCACTAAAAACGAACCTCAAAGAGACTTTAAAAAAGAGAAAAAATTACTAACGGAGAAATGAGCTGTCAAAGACGTCAAATCGGGAGACCTGTCAACTGTGAGGTGAAATGCGTGTCATGAGTTTAGACATTATTCCAGCGAATGTATAAATCAACCCAATTAAACTAAAGTTAAATTTAAATTCAATTCAATTATTACAGGATGAAATTTTTGAAGTAACTTTTGCAGTGGTGCCTAAAAATTCTATTTCTTATGATGGATTACTAGGTCGTGATTTTATTCGCAATACACCGGGTTTGACTGTTAATTTTTCATCTGAAATTTCTTTTACTTACGAGAAACCGATTTCGGAAAATTTTATTAATTGACGCAATCACCGAGTTTAGTAAAAATGTTAATTGTCGATAAAATACCTTTTAAAAAGATTGAGACATTAAAGGAAATTGTAGATCAATATTATGTATTATTACAGAATGCAGAGCGGATTGTTTACGAAATGGAAATAAATTTCATTTCGAACGAACCTTTTCATTTTTCACCGAAAAGACTGTCATGGAGCGAAAGACAGGAATTAAAAAAGGCAATTGACGATTTATTGAGACGTAAAGTATTTAGACAAAGCAACTCAAAATATTGCAAAAATTTTTGCATGGAATTTTTGAAAAGCTCAGTTAGAAATACACATTTTGAAAAAAATCTTAAAATTGATGCATTTTTAAGAAAGTTATGAGTATTCAAAAATAAAAATTATTTGGTTCAAGTAAATATTTATTTGATAATAGTCAAGTATCTCTTCAATTTTGAGAAAAATCACTTTGCAGATTTAATTGTAATTTTTTAGATGCTTCCCTAATAGTTACGTTAATTTTTATTTCATATTTAAAATATTGAAGATACATCGAACAAATTTCATATATAATATTATATTTTTCAGTTATTAGAACAGAGAATAACGCATTTCAAAAGTACTCTCCTTCTCACAACGTCAAACTTTAAAAAATAATAACTTTCATAATTTTTATCAAATAAAAAAATACGTATTTTTTTTTATTTTTCATGAAAATCTTGAAAAAAATTTTCAAGTAAAAATTAATTTTTTAATGAAAATCTCACGTAGAATGTCCTATATATTGTTTTTTATCTGTTAGTAGGACAGAGAAAAACGCATTATAAAATTAAATTAATAATTGTTTAAAAAACGTTAAATACAAATCATTTACGAATAAACAAATCACTTATTTGTAAATCATTTGTACTACCTCCTCCATTACATACTGCTCGTGAACATGTAAGAGATAGACCATTATAATACCAAAGTGTGGCGCTATTTTCAGTCGCTTTCACTGTGAACACGCTGCGCTGAGGACAGGGTATAAGAGATATTGTTGTTTTAAAAAAATTACTTATTAAATTATAAATAAGTTACTTTTGAAATAAAAATTTTATATTAACAAAAATTATTTTTAAATTTAGAA